CAGGCCCTGGCTCACTTTGGCATTGGCAAGAGCAGCCTCCTGGACTGCCCCGCCCTGCAACTGCAGGCAGTCAAGAGGTAGGCCGAGGTAGTACATAGGGAGTTCCGATGCACTTCACGGGCAGGCAGAAGGCAGGAGTAGTCTTCAGGATTCGGCAGCAGCACTCTGGAGGAGCGCTGGAGGAGTAGCTGTAGCGCTGGCAGTAGTCCTCAGTGCTGGGCGCTAGTAGCTGTAGTAGTAGTCTTCAGCGCTGGGCACGTGTAGGAGTATAGTAGCGTTGGGGAGAGAGATGACTGGCGGAGGCCAGGGAGACTTACCTGTGGCGCCATAGCTCCAGCTTCATCTTCGAGGTCCCTGCATCAAGGCGCCAACTTCACAGGTTAGTACCGGACTGAGGGAGAGAGTTCTTCTTCTTCCTCTTCTAAGTCCATCTCTTCTTCACCCTCGCGCTACCTGACTTTTCAGTATCTGCGGACTACGAGAGAGAGAGTTGTGGCTTTAGGACTTGACGACATTGGATTCAGACTCGACATTATTGGGATTCAGACATTTGACGAGGGATTATTTGGGCCTGTGCCGAAGACTTGGTGTTGAGGACATTCCCATCTTCCCCTCTTCTTCGCCTAACTCCCCTCTTCTTCGCCTAACTCCCCTCTTCTTCGTCTGTGTATGGTTGGGGAGTGGCGCATTCTTCCTGTGTGAGCGCCAGGCCCCTTCACACCATGGAATGATGATGATGTATGTTTGGGGCTGCATTGCAACATTTGATTGATCAGATCATTGGTATCTAAGTCTTCCGCTACGCTATGTTGTACTTTGTGAGAGAGGTCGGTTCCTGTTCTGGTCTGCACCTTCACGGTGTGCAACATAGGGACTGATGTCATGTGAGAGGTATATCAGGAGCCTGGATTTGATAGCATGATTGTTGTGATGATGCTCTAACTTCGGGTCTGTAATGGTGTGCCTGCAGGGGAGGGAAGGGTTTATCAACCCAGGTCCAGCTGTTTACATATCAAATGATCATGCACAGCCAATCATGGTGCAGGTGAGTTTTTAAGCCCATTTACTGCGGGTTCTATGATGCAGTTCAAACTTCCTACCCATGGATAGTGCCTCTCTGGATGTGTATCAAGAAGGTAGTTGTAACGAGTGTGAGGCTGAGGGTGAGCCGAGGGAGATGAGAGAGAGGGAGAGAGAGGGAGAGAGAGGGAGAGAGTGAGAGCACACACACACACTCACTCACTCGACACAACGGACTCGGACTGAGGGTCGGACGCAGACACAGTGGCAAGGCACAAAGTCGAAGTCTTCGATTCCGAATGCCGAAACGGCAAGTCACACTGAGTACGAGTACAGCAGCAGAGAACTGGTCGAGACTCCCCCTCGTAATGTACGGGGAGCCGGCATAAGTACCGGTGACACGTACGGTACCAGGGGCATTTCTGCAAAGGCCCCGAGGGCAGAACTGAAAAATGCAGTATTTGAAAGTGGTGCCCGAATTGCAGCATGGCTCCAGTAATCCTACGGTACCAAAGGAGGGGTTTGGAAAAAGGGTGCCAGGCCGAAAACGGGATGCAGCTGAAACAGCAAAAGATAGACCAGGGATCGAGCCCTGGCGAAGTCCGTAACAGTAGTGGTTGACTGCAGAATCATTAGCGGGTTTGAGCCTTGTCCATCGCTTATGGTATATGCCCATTTTGATGCTGGGTAGTGGTTAACTTCAGAGTCTTCACTGGGTCTGGGATTTTTCAATGGTCTGTGACACACTCATTATGATGCTGGAAAGAAACATTGTAAGAATGAATGTCGCCGGTCTTATGCGGGACAGTAGCTTGCCTGACTGCCACCGCTAAAAAAGTCTTCGTACGTGATTCTTGTGTATATTTGCGGTCCTGGGAAGGTTTTGTTACTGTGGCCTCATTGTGGTGCTTTTTTGTTCTTTGTGGGCCTCACAGCCGGTGCGTCAGTATCGCCCTCAAATCCCATTCTTCAATCCAGCTCAGGCAGGGAATAGCCAGGGAAATATTGCCATCCACATTCATGCAAATGGGCCAGAGATGCAGCTTCCTCCTCGTTCACCATCACAACGGGCACCTGGCTCACAAAGTACAGGTGTGGGGGGCACTCCCGCTCCTTCAGCTGGTTCTGGTGGTCAAGGGCCAGTGAGACAGATAGACGGGCAACAGACTGGATCTACAAACCAGGCACCTGGTGGTCGGCCAGCGGGAGCTGGTGGAGACGAAGCAGAGGATGGTCGTGGTGGGGCCCCTGGTGCAGGTCAGGGGGGTGTTTGGTTGGGCCCAGGTGGCGAGGCGATGCAGGCAATTTTTTGTAGCATTGATGCAAATGGTCAGCTGATGGTTCAAGGGAGAGGGGCGCCACCCGGGACAGCAGGGGCAGGCCAGTCTGATGCAGCTATGTCTGGACAGAGTCGACCAGTTGGCCAGGGGCAGACTCTGCCACAAGCACCCAATGTGGGGTTGCTTCCTCCTCAGGCTGTGTTTCTGCCAGCGGCAGCCCTTGCACAGATGTGGCGACCTGGTCCTCCGTCACCGCCTCCAGCTGGTCCACCATCTCAAGCCCAGCCACAGCCAGGGGCATCACAGCCAGGGGCATCACCCCCGTCGCAGCAAAACCGTCCACAAGTGCAGGTGCAGGCTTGGGGTCCCCCTGGGAGTGTTGCTCGAAGGCCCTTCGGAATCTCGGCTGTTTCGTTTTCAACAGGGACATCCTCATCGCCATCATCTGTCTCTGTTTTTGCACCTCCATTCATGTCGCCCAGGGCAGGGGGGCCAGCACAAATGCAAGGGGAACAACAACCTGATAACACTTCAGGTCAAGGCCAGGCACCAACCAGCCAAGTGTCTATGGATCACCAGCAAACACCGCAGCAAACACAGCAGCAACAGCAACAGCAACAGGCTGGAGCGGCTGGAGGCACACAAATATCAGACTTCGCCGCGCGGTCTGTGATGTCCATAATGGAAACCATCATGGCAGGACTGAGTGAGTACATCCATCCACGAGCCGCCCGTGCTGTCTATTATCTCATTCGTGATGGTTTTAGGGGCATGGTACGGGTTGTCCTGTGTGTTTGTTACCTGTCCGACTGGAAGGCACCGAGTTGAAAGAAGCTACTTCTATGTTGTGATCCCAGAACCGCTAGTGGGTGGGGAGATAGGGTTATCGGGTTAGTAGGCTCCAAACACAGTGAGGTTCATTGCCCCAATGTTCTGTCTGATCCTATGTTGATCTCCTTTTCGTGTGTTAATTTGTTAAACAATATGTGGAAGAGTGGGTGGGGATGTGATAGGTCTCATGTAGTCGTGTGGAAGGTCGGTCGACTGTCGAAATTGCCACTGGTTGCTGCCCTATTGCAGCCGCAGAAGAACCTAGTTGGGTACGGATGACGTACACATATTTGAGATAACATGAAAATAGCATGTGACACACTATTGAATGATGGGGTCTGGTTGTTTACTGTGGGTGAAAGCATTCACTTGGCTGACAGAGGGAGCCACAGAGTAAGCCACTGAGTCTTAATTGTTAGATTGCTTGTTGTTTCCTAGCAAGGTCGAAGCTGTGTTATAACTGGCAGTCCCTACCTTGTAACTCCCTTCTCTCTGTCAGATTGGAAACCCAGAGTCCATGTGGCTGAGCTCGGACAGTGAGGTCTTAAACTCCAATGGTCTGGCCTTCGACGACTTTAGCATCCGAAGTTCACATCATCTTGCCTGTGGGTGTCTTATGTGAACCTGCTATCACTTGGCTCCTGTGCCATTTGTAAATTAGAGAGGTGGACTGCCTGTGTAGTCAGTTACAAATGTGTCAAAGAGTTCCCTGTGAGCTTAGCATCCCCCGGCCTTAAAATGACAAATCTGGTGAAAATCTCCCAGCATGTTTAGCTCTCACTGGCGTTCACTAACAGCACACAGCAGAGTGAAACAGGAACTTCGCAATGCCTCGTGAATCGAAGAGGCAGGGAGAGAGTTTGCAGGAGCTTTCTCATGTTTGCATGACAAAGCGTTCAGACAACACAGACAGGAAGTGCCATGAACAGTTGCCGCAGTTGGCCTGAGTGCATGAAAATGCTATTAGAAACATGGCCTGAGATAATGCCTCGAACAGCCTTGCGCTTGGAAATATTCACATATGTTTCCGGCACATGAGCTAGAGAAGCGGATTTTAACCATTGTCAAGGGGCTAAGGTAAAGCTGCACATCTGCCATCATTTAGACAAGTGAGATATCACAATCACTTGTTATCTGGTGAGGAAGTCTCTGTACAACCTTTCGACTGTTGCACCTGCCCACTCAGATTGGAGCCTGACAGTTGTGTGTTCCAGCATGCTTAGAGAGGCAGAGTTGTGCTGTTTCCTGCTTTGCGGCAAGGAGCTGGACACACCATATACATCACCCATGTTCTGACGTGGACGGTGGGATTAGACAGCTTTGCCCTTTACTAGTCTTGGAATCATGGCCTGCTCTTCAGGTGTACAGGCTTTTTGCATGGAGCTTGACATGGTGTTTGACTGATAGTGGTTTAAGTGGTTACGTGGATTGGAAGTTCCATCTGGAAAGGATTGAAAATGTGAGAATGTGGAAGCATGTGTGCACCAGCAAACGAGGTCTGATACATGGCTGCTTAGAATCAACAAGGTTTGGGTGAGGGCAGTCGTATGTTAGTGTCTAATTTAGCGAGGTGCATGGGGAGTCATGTCGATGTAGAACCTCATTGTGAAGTATATTTTGTCTACCTATCTATCTCCTCTGCTGGCTAAGCCAGTGCCGTCTTTGTGAGTTGTACAATGGGGACCCTGAAAGCCGCTGGCACCACATGTAGAAAAGGTTTTCACTTTGTAAAGTTGGTATCGAATATCGTTCGGCAGAGGCTCCTTATGACAGAGGTTCATCAGAAGCTTTTCAACCAAACTCTTCTTGACTTGGTGGACTTCCATATGGGGGACGCTTGTCAGGAGCTTCTCAACAAACCTCCCTAAGTTGACCCCACTGCAGAGGGAACATCTAAAGGGGCATGCTTGTTAGGAAGCTGTACTGAAGTAGGGATAGAGACTTGGTAAAAATGGGGACCCCTGTGTCCAGGATTCTGCATCATGGCATGAGTGAAGCAATATATATCTGTCTGCATCGTCCTGATGAGAAGAGATGTCTTGTCGCGTGTTTGGAGATCTATTTATAAAGAAATGTCTCTTTTATGACTGGTGAGCAGGGCCCCCATCTAGTGGAGAAGCTGCTGTGACACATCAGGTTGAAGGTGCGGGAGTTCCAGGAGCCGCAGATGCATCTAATGCCCGTGGAATGATGGATAATCCTTCTGCTGCTGGTGGTGCGACTGCTGCCAGCGGTGGGCCGCAAGGCACTGCCCAAGCGAGTCCAGGTGGAGTTCACAATCCCACAGTAATCGGGACCGAGGGTCATCCGCAAGGGGTTGATCCTGCAGCTGTGATGAGTTCCATCCTCAGTGCACTGCAGCCGTTTCTGAACATTCAACAGCAAGGTCATTATCAGGTTCATGTGGGGCAAGGACTGCACCCACAGCATCACCAACAGCAGCAGCAGCAGCAGCTTCTGCTGCAGCTTCGACACCAGCAACAACAACAGCAACAACAACAACAGCAGCAGCAGCAGCAGCTTCTGCTGCAGCTTCGACACCAGCAACAACAACAGCAACAACAACAGCAACAACAACAKCAACAACAACAACAGCAGCAGCAGCGGCAGGAGCAAGAACAGCAGGTGAGGCCAGGAACCTGGTGTGCAGTGGTTGATTTTCAGTTTCCTGCATACCTGCTTGATCTCACTGGTCTGCTGCTTTCCCTCTTCCTCCAATCTCGTTTCACACTGCAGAAGTCGCAGAGCATTCATCACCCGGCCTGCTTCACTGATTGCAAGTGCCTCAGTAATTGACTTGTCATGGGAGTCTTTTGATTGTCTACTAAGTCTCTTCAGCCGCTTAGGTTGTGCAGTGTTGAAACTGTTGTTGTCTGCAAGTCAGTAAAAGTTTATTTTCCCTAACGGCCTTTAAATCTCATCTCTGTTTGTCAAGCTAAACTGTATGTTTTGCACCATGCTCGTCACTCTATTATATGTAGAAGCGTTGTTGTTTCACGTCGCTTATCCATTGGACCTTGAAAGTGAACTCAGCCGTCTCTCTTGTACCAATTTTTCATGCTCCTGCATTCGATGTGCTTTGTCTGAGAAGCGGTCTGACATATGACCTCCGTCTGTGCGTCCTTTTATGGGAAGTCGAGCATTCACGTAAGTGGAATTGGGAGGTTGCGGGTTCGATTTCCCACGTCATCCTTTTGACTCCCCACGGCCCCTGTGACACACTTCGGGTTCACCTCCTGGGATAGATGGCTTCCCCCCTGCTAGTTGGTCTTGGTAGGGGATGCCCCCTTCCATCCAGTGCGAGGGCTGAGGTTCACTGCTGAGGGGATAGGCTCAACTCTGAAGAGATAGGTTCAACCTTGGTTTGCTTGGGTAGATGGGTAGGTGATAGCCTGCTCTGGGGAGGCATATGAGTGTGAGCGATATACATAAAACCAAGTTGCGAAATCACACAGCTGAGCAAGTAGTAGTATCCCAAGTAGAGAGTACAAATGCACCGAGAAAACCATCCATAAAGAGCAATACAATGAAGTATTGAGCCAATGTCCAAGCCCGTAGGCCACACCAACACAGTATCCAGAGTCGCTCTCTCTGTCTGGCATACAGCGCCCAGCCTGCTCTACCACACTATCCTACTCTACAGCTGGTTCATGCAACAGGATCACTTCGGCTCACGTACATGACTGTCAACACCATCAGCGACCTCTCTTCATGTACCAGGTACGTATCTTGTCACCCTCAATCAGACCTTGATTGTCCCACACAGCGCCTCACTCCCTGAAGACCACCCGATCATCCGCTGTACCCCCTGGCGCCTAGCAGCCCGGCTATGGCCGCCTGCGCCCCGCCGTCCTGCAGCGCCCGTCTCACCACCTAGCGCTCCGTCAGCGCCCCTGGCATTAGCGCAGCATCAAGCAGAAGTGCAGCAGCACTTCCGCATTGCCAGCGCTGGCCAATGTCTGCCCTGGGCTGCCTCACTTCCTTTATGGAAGTGTCAGCCTCTTGGATGCTGCGTGTGGCCTGGCTGGAAGCTTCCAGAAGCTTGCGGTTGGGCCCCAGACCCTGTGCCCAGGCCCGAGACTTATAGTTGAGGGCCTGGGCCCTTTTCAGTTGGGCACGGCCTGGCTGTTGGCTGTATCTGCTCAGGGGCCCTGGATAGATGCGTCGGCAGTACTGCTTTTCCTTAAGGCCAACGGCCTGCTTCTCAATGTATCGGCCCTGCTTTGTGTGTATATGCCCAGGCACAACTTTTGTGGCCTGGGCCAACTGTACGACGCAGCTTAGCGAGGCTCGCGCGTTCACTCAACCAACTGATGTGCTACCCACATATGGAAATGTTGAATTTGGCCTGTGACGAATATTCAGGCCCGCCTTCACTTAGGGCGGGCACTTGGCTTGGTGGGGCCTTAGCCCAGAACAATGTGATGTCTGATAGGTCCACTTGAGGGCTCGTTCCTCACAATAGGCTTAAACCCGCAAGCCTTAGTGCACTGCGCTTTCCGTATATAGATATGGATTGCTGTGGTAGATAATGTGAGGCAAGTAGGTAGCTAGTGTGAGGCGAAAAAAATATCGAGAGAAGAGTGGAGTGAATACGGCTGTCCCCCACATGAGGAGAAGACAGATTAAAAAAAAAAAAAAAATCTCTTTGGTGATTCAAAATCCAAGTCATGTCCTATTTTCTTCAGTGTGTTGTTCTGGGTTGAGACTCTCTGCTATTGAATTTCTGAAGCATTGTGGTGATGGGAAAATTGGGCCTAGTTGGTGAGTCACCAGTCTTTCATAGAACTAATGCTTGCAGTCTAGCAATGACTGAGGCCATATTCCCTGGAACTTGTAGCAGTTCCTGCCAGCAACTGCTGGTATGCGCCTTCCTTGAGCCGGTGGTGAAGGGTTTCAAAGTGAGGTCTATGGTGCAAGGTTCCATTGTTCCAGCATCCTGAGGGCGATGGCTGGTTTTGGTGGCCTGTAGCCCATCGAGTCGAGGCTGTACATAGGTAGGTGAGATTCGTAATTTTGTTTGGCTGCGGGCTAACCGCGACAATGGACAGTGAGGAAATCCGTGAGGGACATATCTGCAAATTCAGGAAAATTATAGGCCCGCACTAACCAAATTCCCTACAGCTATCCTAACTGCGAATAGCAGGCCCGGGCTATCCCTAGGACAGACAGGCCCTAAAGGCATATGCTGATTGACGGTCCTACAGCCTATAGCCAGGTAGGGAGAGGCCCTAGAGGCCGAAACTGAAACGGTACCGGTCAGTCCTACCAATCCGGTCTAGGTCGTGTCTAGGCTAGGGAAGAGTATGAATAGGTTTAGGGAAAACAAATCGGGGCTTTTTGGCAGTTGGTACCTCGTACGTGGGTGCTGTGCAACGAATGAACTGGAGTGGTGACAGCTGAAGCGTTGGGGAAGACGAACATAGCCAGACCTGCTAAGCGTCGTCCATAGATGGGACCTATGCTGTTCGCTGACAGCACGCTGGGTTGTTCAGAGGTCTGGGCTATTTGGAGTCTGCTGGAGGCAAGAGAAGTAGGGTGTCAGGGTGCTTGGCACTGCCGCCATAGCTGCAGCTTTCTTCCTCAGAGAGCATCTTTGTCAGGAGAGGTGGCGCTGCTACAGACTTCCCCCCGGGAAGTCCTCTGGCAGTTCATCATCATTAGACACTGTGGCGCTGGTCTTCTTCTTGATTCTCGGAGAGGCGCTTGGCCTCAGAGGTCTGTGACAGGGTGGCGCTTCCCTCTGGAGGCAGTATCTACGTGGCGCTGGTTGTTTCAGGCACTCAGCGGTTACTAAGGGTTGGGGAGTGAAGGGCTTGTCATCTTTGAGCAGCACACCACGGTTCTGGGGTTATTCTGACATTTCGAGACTCCGAGTTTAATAAACAGTGTAAATACTGTGTGTGGACTATCATTGCTTCATTGATTCCTGGATGTGATCAACTCGGCTTTCCTTTGTGACTAATTGTGAGGATTCTGTGGAACGAATTGCACTTCAGTGTTTTTTGTCATATTGCATGGTCAAGTCTTCCGTGGCATTTATCTCTTCCTGTGCGGTGTGATACTCCCATGCTCTCCCCTTCCTTCTGTGTATGTATGGGCATACCTGGAAGTCCATGTGAGTGAGTGTTGGTCTTCTGACAACAAACAACCAGGTCCGTAATAGTTGGTATCGGAGTGGATTGGATCCAGAGAGTGAAGTGATTGATGAGTTCGAGCACCCATCATCATCTGGTGAGACACTGGAGTTGAACTTCATGGAGATCTGTCATCTTCTGTGTTGGCGACAATAAGGGTGGTGCTGGTGAGTGTGTGGCGAGAGGTATTGGATAGAGGGTGATTCACTCCTGCACAGGATTGCATAGGAGTGGATGGCAATTGATGCTCAGAGGCCTGGGAGGTTATTTATAGCCTGGCAGCTCATCTGGGACGATTGGCAAGGAAGTGACCCTAGGGTGTTGCAATTTCGGAATTGGGTCTGTCAGTCAGTCAGTTGATAGTTGAAAATTGAAATTCAGACTGTGGGACAGCCATAGCCAGGGTAAGACATAACTTCAGTTTTGTCCGTCGGAATTTTATTATGTCAGTCCATGGTAAATCGCAATTCAGTATTCAGTTTGTGTCTGAAATCGCATGGTCAAATTTGATGTTCTAAGTCAGTTACAATGAAATCTGTAATTTGCCATACCCTGGGTATGGCATACAGGGTCATCCAGTGGTGAGGTCAGTAGGGTAAAGTATAAAAAAATAAAAATAGTATACACACCAGTAAATCGTTGCATCTTGGTCGTTAGTAGATACCTGTCAGTCACTAATAGGCACTCTGTCTAGATTACTATCCACTAATCAGTCCAGGACTGTATCCTGAAAGTAATTAATACAGGATTTTAAAAGGGCCTTTACCCGATATAGGCCTCAGGCCTTGTAAAAATAGAGCAGCACGGGCCTTGTAAAAGTAAAGCAGTGTGAAAAGATATCTTGCCAGGGCTCAGAAACGTGAAAACAGGTCAAAAGCCAAGTTCTCTATCAACAGGCACATCTAATTCTAAGGCAAAGGGCATTGTCAAAAGACTTACCTGTTCACCAGGAGATGTGTATGTCATGTCTGTTCGAGTAAGGGTGTGTCTGTACGTGTAGGCAGTGTACCTGTTCGTGCAATGGAAAGTGMCTGTTCAAGTAGTAAATGTGTCTGTTCGTTTAGAGTTGTGCCTGTCCGAAAGTGAAGTCAGTAGGCACAGTCCCAGTTCTGGTCTAATTCAAGGGGCAGTCCAGATCCAGACTTTCAAGTCCAAATCCAGGCCGAAGTGCCTCGGCAGCAGTTGAATCTCATTGGGACTGTACTGGGACACATGCAATGCAGGGTCTGGGACAAAGGGAGGCTGAATTGAGCCAATGCAGACCCAGCGAGGAGTGG